GGCCAAGTTCAGTGAGGAGGTTTACTATAGAGTGGGTTTGGTGATTATGGTAGAATAGAATGGAATAGCTTATCCTCTCTGACTGGACTACTTCGCCAAGATGCTCTCCCTTAAATATAATATGTATCGGCGACAATATCTCTCAACATACGCAGATTCCACACATTACAATTCTCCAGACTGACTCGCCTTCTCCTGACAGCCACATCTAGGAATAGGTGTCAATGATACTGTCATTTACAATATGTACATAGATTTAATACTATAGTTTATATATCCATAAGAATAAAATATATCTTACCCTCTTACTAGTAACCCCTCATACGTCTGGTTTTTTTTTTTAAGATGACGTTCTGAAGCATAGAAATGCTTGATATAGAAAATAAATAAATAAGTAGATTTAAAAAAAAAAAAAGATAAACCGAACTCCGCTCGACTATGTACGATGTGTTTGCATTGATATAAACACTGAACACACACAGCATATACAGCACGGTAGACTTTGCCAGTTGTAATATATTGAGAAATAACCAATCTTATGAGGCGATATTAATACCGTTGGAAAGCTATTAAAAAAGTGGATTATCAAAGCTGCAATATCTTTCAATAGAAAGCAACGATGGTTTAAATACATTGGTGGGAAAGACTCCATTTCCATTTTTGGGACACAAGCTTTTATAGTGATAAAAGTGTACTTGGCATTAAGGTTTACCCTAAGTTTTGAAGTATTTTCATATATATTCCCAATTTATTTTTTTCACTTTTTTGCATTCTTTTCTCAAAGCAAAATCGAACAAAAGTATACAGTACTACTCTCAGTTTGCGAAATACCAAGGTCAGTTATTTTAAAAAGGAAGCCGATACAGCACATTTTAGCTTCAATACTAATATTCTTCTTTATTTTAGGATATAAGATCAGCTTTTATCAAAACGTCAAGATGGACAGCACGTGGTAGGCAAGAGTTGGCATTGATGGGACCATTACGGAGTTGGTCTAATGAAGGGCAAATCTTTATGGTTTGTTTTTCATGACTTTCTCTGCTTCGTTGTGCGTTGCTGATGAGTTACTTTTGTTGACTGTCTCTAGCGGCATGCAAATTCGAAACCGTTATTGTCCGGGTGGTGGGGGTTTATTTGAATTCCTCTCCCTTGGTTATCGGAGATACCAAAACCTAAACGACCTTCAATCTAGTGGCGATCTCTATACAGGTGACCATGATGCCTACGTAGAAAGGTTACTGTACTGATCTCTCAAAAGGCTAAATTGGACGCTGCTGGTGTAGTCAGTTGCTTTCTTGTCTGCCATTTGTTATTTAACCCTCTTTACTCTGAATGGAAACTAGTTAAGAAAAAACAAAAAGACTTCTTTTAAGAATGAATACTGAGCAATCTTTTTTCTTCTTCTTTTCATAGTGGTGGAAGCCAAACAAGATTTACTGATAAATGGCCCTCATTTCAAAACATTACCCAAACCATTTAGACATAGAAAACATTCATTTGGTCAATTTATTCGATACATGAAAAAACAGGCTACATGCTGTTATTTGACATCATTATCCATTTATTACTTTTGTCTCAATAAAAAGCCTTTTGAAAATATATAATGTCTCTGTCTCTCTTTGCTTTTGGTGTGTACAGTACATGTGTGTATGTAGATGAGAATAAAAAATAGTTCCAGTAGTGATATGGTTGACTATACGATGGGTCAGAGGATGGTTAATAAAAAAGGATTGCTTTATTGAAGAACATTGGTAGATACTAAAACTAAAGACGAGGGGTTCATTGTAACATGGGATTCAATAGAAGGGTCTACTAGGCAAAGCCTGAGGAGGTATAAAGTGTGATTTGAAGAATGATTAACACAAATCTAGAGATGGAACTAATAATGCTATCTACGCCATGAGAAAGACAAAAAATATCTTTGGCTGAAATATAAAATGGGATGGTAGTAAAAAAGATATCTATTGCGCAAGGCATGAGATGAACTAATGGGACATTTTCATTGAAGTATCTGAAAAAGATATATTTTATTCATATGCAGATACAGCATGTGGCGAACTAAAACTAAGCTAAGCTAAAGGAGGCTCCAAAAAGCCAACTAACGATGCACTCAGATCCTATATCCAAAATGAAAGGGCTTCCCCATGCATCTTGTTATCCCTGATCTGCAAACCCTTCTAAGCTAGTCCTAAACTAATATAAGATCATTATAACCTCAAATAGGTCAAAATGGTTGTGAAAAAAAAAAGAAAAGAAGAAAAGCAGGAGAAAAATAAAAATCTTGTGGGCGGTATTTGAATTGGTATTTGGTCTCCGGTGAGAGCTCGATTTTTTTTTCCCATTACTGAAGAGTACAGTGAGACTTTTGGATAAAAGTGGTTAGTATTTATCTGTTTCTATCAATGTGTGAAAATAAAATAAGAATGGTTTATTTATTGATTTGTTAATAACATCTATGCTATGGTGGAGACATGTGTGTGGCAGCAGTAACTAAGATGAAGGTTATCGGAGGTGTGTGTATACTAAAATCTGGGCCAAAATATAAATCTAGATGTCGTATCCCAAATACAACAGTAACCAAGCCGGCAGTTCTTTCTCATGACAATAGCCTCACTCAGACACAATCCACATGTATCGACACGTTCATACCTCTAAATATCTCACCTTTACAGAGGCGTCAAAGTACAGCCAAGGGTCTACATAGTTTAAGTTATTCGACATAATTTATATCTACATCTGAATAAAACATTTCTCTTTTCACATCGTTTATATTGTTCCTCATATGTTTAGTTTATCTTGTCTAACCGGTATACCGGCACGGAACAGCGTTTGTGATTGTAGAAAAAGAAAAACTGATATTTGTGTATATATAAAAAAAAACAAGGATGATTGTGTGTACGGGCAACATTGCAGGACTGTCGTGCCCAGCACTTTGCTACGGTTCTGGGTTTCTAAATGTGGGTGTTATATTTTTGTATTTTTGAATAAAGAAAAAGCTTGTTACAAAGTATTGTGGAAATTTTGGATAATTATTTATTTCCATTCAAATGTGTTGTCTAATTTGTACTAATACGTTGGTACTATATGCTGGTAATTTAAAATAGCGAATGGATGTGGCAGGAAATTTGTTTACAGAGTTACTCGGGGTTTGAATATCTGATTTTGAACGACTGCAATGCATGAATCAAAGGATATGGGGCGTGTAGATAAATATCTATATCAATGGATGAACACATGTATGTGTTAGTATACAACACCTATAATTACTGAAGATTCACTGAACGAGCAGAGAACATCTACTAATTAGAAAAATAGAAAGTAATGCGAAATACGTAGCGTGAACGTGCGACTGAAGTTTCTTATTTTCTCCACTGAGAAGAATAAATATTTATGCCCTAAAATCTCACTTTTCCGATGCGAGTAATGACTAGTACTACAGGAAAAAAAAATGAAGGTTGGATCAAACTTGATCAAATTGTTTCCACCGATGCCTATATTTATAAATAGGCAAACAGTAGTTCTTTTTTTTTTAGCGTAGTCAATTCTAATTAGATTTAGGCAAACAGTGTCTTGTTCCCACAATCAAAGCTCTGTCTGCTTGAAATTTAAACTCCATCTATTTAAAACTTTTTTTTTTTTTTTTTTGGCACTCTCTTTCTCTCCATTCATTTAGGTAGTGTTTTTCTCTACTGGAAATATACACATTCCACTGCATACAATAAACTTATTTAACCTTTTTTATTGCCTATTGTAGATTATGTTGGGAATTCTATCTTTGTGCGCTGGTGAACGTTTACTTGATACCATCATGACTTAATAACATTGGCGACAATGCTCAAAGGTAGCTCAAATACTCCTCTATAAGTAAAAATATCTATCAACCAGACACCGAATGACCATTATATTTTTATTTGGATGTTTTATTTAGTACTATACTGCTTCTTAACCATGTCTTGTGATTCCTTGCCGTCATGAACTTAAGAAAGCTAAAAAAGTGAGCTTTTTTTTTTTTTTTTTTTTTTGTCGTTGCGTGTTCTTGTTTTTTCTCACTTTTGTTTACATTTAGTGCTGTTTTTAGTCAGTGTTTGTTACATGCCGCAATGAATTCCCTAATTCCTTTTTTTTTTATTGATACAGCATGTATACTTACTAGTACGATGATGACGATAGTTGCCGGTACTTCTTTATACTCCATGATGCGCTCAAAATGGTGGTTGATGGTGATATTTCTTGGTGCTACGATGGTGCCCTGATCCCTGATCGTTATACACTGTCATGAAGATGACCGTTGATGGTTGTAGTATTAGTATAGATGATAGTATTTATTAAATATTGTATTTTATACAGTATATTTTATGAATAAAGACCAGTAGTATATTGAATTGAACAAATATATCACCAATAGTCAATTGTACTGAACGAATAGAGGCCAATAGTATGTCATAAAGAGGATGGTAATGACCAATAGAAGCCTGCATAAAGCGTGAGAAAGGCAAACCCCATTGGGGAACTATTGTACGTGCAGTGGATACAGGTCAATTGTCGTATTCAGCATTTGATGATCTTTTTATTTTTATTTTTATTATTATCGAAATCATCTTTTATCTTTTTATCATTTCGGTGTTTTTATATTTTATCTGAACAGTCTGACATTTGAACAAACTGGTCCGCATAAAATCAAACCTTTTATGAAACCACATTTCAGATAGCGAAATGTGATGGCTTAGATGAAGAAATTTTTATTTATCCAGTTGTTGGTTTGTTAATGTCTTTTGCTTTTCTCTCTCACTTAATAAACGACTTTTTTTCTGCCTCGTACTTTTTTTTATCTAACCAATCATCCTGATCAAACATTTTTTTTTTTGTCACCAAAAACGATCAGACAAAACATTTTGATCACTATCAAAAACGACCTATTTTGATCAAACATGTTCCCTTTTCGTCGGGCACGTGATTTATTTGGGTTCTCATCTTGTATATCAAATTCCGCAAGCATCTCCGCATCAATAGTTTAAGGGTAGAATATTAGCTTCCCAAGCTAATGGCCTGGGTTCGAGTCCCAGTTGATGCAACCTTTTGACTACCACATACCCATGTCCGGCTAAACCTGTGCCGTAGGTTCTTTTTTACTTTTGTTACAGCTAAATTTGGTTATTAGGTAGTAACTGAGAATTGTTTTTGTGGGTTTTATGACTTTTTAGGGTGATGTTACGGCTAATTTTGCTTGCTAGTGTTGTGGCTGTTTTTAAGTTTTGTTATAAGTGAATACCAATTATGTTATGGTAGACTTGATGTTTTTGATGTTATTTGTATAGTTTGGTATAGATAGAATAGTATCTTGCACCAAATGTGTCTTGTAATAAATTAATTTTTCTTCCTAGTGAAAGTCAAGAGCGATTTATTTTTCTCTGGACGGAATTTGAAATTTGATTTGCAGTGGTCCCTGAATTGACTTTTGTTTATAGAGAGAGCACTAGATATGTACTACACCAAATGTGTATTTGAATATGAGTAATGAGTTCCAGATATGAGTTTGGATAGTAAGTAGTGAGCACCAGAACTTTTGTAGATAAAGTCCAACTTGAAATAAAAGAAGTTTTAAAAAGTAAAACTTGATAAAATAAAATAAAGTAGAAGTATTGACCTTAGCTGGTTCAATAAAAATAAAAAGGAGTATAATTGACTCTGAAATAAAATAAATAAAGATTCCTATAGCAAAATAGAAATAACTTGATAACTTGATAACTTGGTAATTTGGTGGTTATAAAAAAAACCTTTGTACTGACTTTTATTTGTTAAATGAGAAAAGTATATAGAAAAACTAAAGAGAAAGAAAAGGATAATAATAAAAAGTTGGCTATTTATACTAAAAAACTGATATCTATAGAGATGGTTTGTTTTTGTGTTTTTCATCTATGGAATGTATTTTCTAATTTTTTTCGGATGTATATATGTATTTTCTATTTTTTTTTGAGATGTATGAATGTATTTTCCATTGACTAGTTTTCATTCATGGCCCAGTCCATTAATTGGTTAAAACCAAAAATGTCAGCAGCAATTTCCCCAGCGGTGTCTTCAATGCTGGACCCAACACTAGGTCGAAACTGCAAATTGTTCTGTAGGTTGTTTTTTTTTTATGTGAGCACCGGAACTTTTTAGGATGAAGCTCAATCGTTGTAGCTTCGAATAAAACGAGATCAAATCAAAAGAGAAAAGAAAATATAATTCAGACTCAGCTGTCAATTTTAAAGTATTCCAAAAGTTTGGATTAAAAGAAAGTCAACAAGTTTGTGTGATGGCTAAAAAAAGCATTGGTAATGAGTTTATTAAAAAATAAAATAATAATATAATAATGTGCTTAATGTAATTCTTTTTATTTATATTTTTTTCCTTTTCTTTTTGTGTTGGATATTTAAATACTGTAAATTCGAAATCCCATCACTTCTGGAATACTGCTTATGTTGGCCAGCCAGCCAATTTTTATCTCACTGACCAAAAAGCGGGATTTCAATTGAATTTTTATAAAGGTCGTGCTTTCTAATTTTTTCTCCTTTTCTTTCTTCCTTTTTTTTTTTTACATGTCGTCGGGGGTCTGATGATCATGGAGTGGGATTTTTGTTAGATTTAGAGTGTTTTGGAAAAGGGCACGACAAAGGACATGGGGAAACCCTTTCATTTTGGATGTAGAAATTAGTTATGTTTCTGGCATGGAGTGGTGACATGCCGGTGGCCTCAAGTGGTCATATGGCGATTCTGGAATGGCTTGGATGACTCGCTGGTGGATACGTTTCTGGGCAAAGCGATTATGGTTTTGGAATAGGTGGCTTACTTTTTGCTAGGTGATATTCTATATGCCTATGTACGCTTCAAACAACTTGCTGGTGCGGCTCAATATGGCTTATACGACGTCCCATAGAAATAGCATATACCCGTTGATTAGATATATTAGTGGTAGCCTCGTTAGTGTGTATGATAGCTATTCTATTCTATTGAAATAAATGTTACAGTACACTTTACTGTGTGTTTCCACGCAGTTATATTACTTTTATGCACTGTATGCAAACGCCGTCACTTTATTTATTTATGTTACTCTTGTAAAAAGGAAGTGAAGAAGTTGAAGAGAGTGCCTAGGAAGAAAGTCGCTGCTTGACAGGCCATAAAATAATTCGCGTAGAAAAAGAATAATGAATAAAGCAGTTGTTGAAAAGTGTTGGTCATGATGAAAGTTGAAAGGGATTGACTATGATGAACGTGAAAATTGTTGGCGTTAAGAATTGTTAGTTGTTTTTTTCAAAGGTGGACACTGGAAAAGACTTGAGTGTGGTGGACGCTGAAAAAGGATGGCTTTGGGATGTGGGAATCACCGTGATTTAGAGAATTGAGACTTTCTTTAATAGATTGGTCAGGTCGAAAGATGGACTGGTGACACTTTAAACCGTTACGGCTATTGTTGTTTATAGTTTAGTAGTTGGTTGTGTTTTATGGGTTTTTATGTATATTTTTGTAAGTGAGCATCGGATCCCTTTGATTTAGAATCAATTTTTTATATGTCATAAGTAAAAAATAGAGTAATCTGAGGGCTAATTAAAAATTCGTTCAGGGGACTATTTCTTCGAAATAATAGAAATAAAATAAAATATAAAACTACGCTAACCGTCAAAGCTTCCAGTAAAAAAATATTCAATTAGCGCCATCCGCTGCCCAATCGAGGTCCTCTCTCATGCCAAATCAATTGGCTAGGTTGAGCTCCACGACCAGACTGTGTTACGGCTATAGATGGTTATAGACTTTAAACAAGGTAGTTTTTTTGTAGGTTTTCTGTTTTTATAGAGTATGAGCACCATAACTTTTAGGCTTTAATTTAACTGGCTAGGTGTAAAGATAAAGAAAGGTAAAATAAAAACATAGTTTTCGAAGTCCGTCTAGGAACAGTTAGTTCCAATAAATTTAGAATTAATGAAAAGTAAAATAAAATGGAGACTTATAGTCTATGAAGGTTTGCTATAAAAAGTATCCCTTTTGACGGAATAAAATACAGATATAAGAAAAGAGATTTGGTGGTTTAAAAACACCTTTTGCAAGTTTCGTTGATCAGAGTAGCGAGAATATGAATTAAAAAAATTGCCAGTATACTTGAAGAGAAAGGCTATTTATACTAATTCAAAAATAATTTGAGCCCAGATAATAAAAGGGTTCGATGTTTGAAACGGAAACAAGATAAAACTATTGGGATTTGATAGGTACTGGTATTGATGAATATATCTTACCAGTACCTATCAATATCAAAGTCTTTTCGGAACCAGATTAATTAAAAACCTCCAATATCTGTACAGTAATGCTAATGTTTTTATTTTGAAAACATGGTATTTCTGTAAACGCATCTATAACTACTCCACAAACCAATGAAATATATAAGAACTACAGCCAGCCCAGATAAAAAACCAAAACCAAAACCAAACCAGATAAAAAAAAAAGAACCAACTAGGTACAGAATAGATAAAACTAGAAAGTAAGAAGCTTCTTGAAAAGGAAAAGGAAAAAGAAACAGCATGATAACGCAGAATACTGGCTTATTGTTTACTTTGCCTGCCTTTTTTTTTCACCCAGATACCATTCTTCTCTAACTTTACATCTAGCTTGACGTCTATAACTTTTGTAATATCTGTTCACCCGCATTGTTAAACCAATGTCGCTGCAATTTTTCCCTTTTTTTAAGTCACCGGTACTAAATCCCCTTCAGAGTAATTGTCCGCAATACTAGCCTCACCATTTCTAACCTATATAAACCACCAAAAAGCGAAATGCAGAAGAGGTAACAACGAAAAATTCTGTGGTGACTTTTTTTTTCACACAAACACATGCCTTCTTTCCATCACATAAATATGCACACACGCATACACTGGATTTTCGTTGCATATATACCAGGCCCATTTAATAAGACAATGGAAGCCATGAAAGGGATTAATGGTAAAAAGACAAGATATATTTATTCAGATATGGATACAATATAAGCTATGACAACTAACACTAAGCTATGCTAAGGACACTACTGTAAAAATAAGGCTAATGTAATAGGGGTTGGAAATCCGGAATCAAAATGAAAGGGTTTCCCCATGATATTAGTTTTGCATTTTTGAAAATGCCTCTAATTCAAATTCCAACACTAATCCTAGATAACCAGTATCCCAATGAGCCTTGCCATCATATCATTCAGACTTTCATGAAGGAAAAAAAAGAAGAAAAAAAGGAAAAGAGAGGGAAAAAAAAATTGGTGCCAAGAAAATAGAAATCATGTGTGCGGAGCCTGAATTGACATTTTTTCACACCTAAACGCTATCCTATATTTTTTTTTTGAACACCCTCAAAAAAATTACAATCAAGGAGCACTGAGCACGACATCAGGCCCAAAAGGGCTGCCCATCAAAGTGCGAAATGGCGAAGTCGCCTAGTTTCTACCCAATTTTTTTTTTAACACACAAACCCCCCCATTGACGATGCGCTGAGTACGACGGCCCAAGCGGGCTGCCCACCATAGTGTGAAATAATGGAGGCTCTAATTCCACCCCATCAAAACCCACACTTCAATAAAATCATCTGTCACCAACCAAGTTTATAGATTTCCAAAAGTTTCATCAGTGTGCCAGAGAGTCTATATATTGATAATAGAAAAAAATGGCTAATGCAAAAGGGCAAAACAAGAAGAAGCAGAAATCATGTGCTTGTATGATTAAGTGTTTATCTGAAGGGAACATACGATGGTTGTATGGGACTACGTGATTTTTCTTTCGAATTTTAACCTTGCTGATATTTCTGAAGATCAAGTAGGTACTGTGTTGGTAGGTGATGCGTGCCCTCTAAGCTCCATTTTTGTTTCACTTTATGTAAAAATCTTGGATGTTTTTCACTAGTGCCAGTTTACCTGTTAAAAAGATAGAAGACATTTCAACATATCCTCCCCATCACATATCACTCACCAAGAATCGCATACTTTTTTTTTTTTTTTTTTTTCAAACAATAGATCAAGAGAATTAGACACATCATTTTGACATAAATTCGATTTTTATTCATATC